TTTTCAGTTTTTGACCATTTAGTATGATGTTGGCTGTTGGTTTTTCATAAATAGCCTTAATCAAGTTGAGATAAAGACCTTCTATTCCAATTTTCTGTAGAGTTTTTATCATGAATGGGTGTTGCATTTTGTTGAATGGCTTTTCTGCATCTATTGAGATGATCATATGGTTTTTGTCCTTGACTCTGTTAATATAGTGTAGTAACGTTTATTGATTTATGGATGTTGAACCATCCTTACATCCCTAGGATAAATCCGACTTGGTCAGGGTGTATGATCTTCTTCATGACCCTTTGTATTGTTTTCCAGTATCTTGTTGAGGAGTTTTGCATCATTATTCATTAGGGAGATTGGCCTGTAGTTGTCTTTCTCAGTTGTGTCTTTCCCTGGTTTTGGAATCAAAGTAATACTTGCTTCCAGGAATGAGTTTGGAAGCTTTGCTTCCTTTTCAATTTTCTTGATGAGTTTAATGAGTAATTGCAGTAGTTCTTCTTTAAATGTCTTATAGAATTCAGTGGTGAAGCCATCAGGACCTGGGCTTTTCTTTGTTGATAAATTTTTTATTACATTTTCAATTTCACTCATTGTAATCAGGGTGTTTAAAATTTCTATATCTTCTTCATGTAACTTTGGTAATTCATATGTATCTAGGAATCTGTCCATTTCTTCTGTGTTTTCCATTTTATTAGAGTACAGGTTCTGAAGTAGGTATTGATGATGCTCTGGATTTCTGCTGGGTCTGTTGTGACTTCACCTTTTTCATTCTTGATTGCATGTATTTGAGCCTTTTCTTTCCTTATTTTGATAAGGTTGGCTAAGGGTTTATTGATTTTATTTACTCTTTAAAAAACCCAACTCTTTGATTCATTAATTTTTTGTATCATTCTCTTAGTCTCCATTGCATTGATTTCTGCTCTGATCTTTATAATTTCCTCTCTTGTCTGAGCTTTGGGTTTGTTATGCTCTTCTTTTTCTAGGAGCTTGAGGTTCTGCATTAGATTGTTTATCTGAGTTCTCTCTGTTTTCCTAATATAGGCATTGACTGCTATGAATTTCCCGTGTAGAGCTGCTTTCATTGTGTCCCATAGATTCCTGTATCTTGTACTGGCATTATCATTTACTTGTAGAAACTGTCTAATTTCTTCTTTAATTCCCCCTGTGACCCATTGGTTGATCAGGAGGGTGCTACTCAATTTCCATCTGTTTGTGGGAGTTTTGTGGTTTCTTATGTTATTGACCTCCAATTTTATTGCACTATGGTCTGATAATATACAGGGGGTAACTTCA